CAAGCTCGAGCCTTCCGCCCCAAGAGGCCGCCAGGAGGCCCCAGGAGGCCCCTCAAGAGGCCCCAGGAGACCCCAGACGTCCAAGGACGCCCCCAAGAGGCCCCAAGAAGCCTCCAACATGCGTCCCAAGAGGGCCCCTAGACGCAAGAATTGGCCCATTTCCTTCGTAAAACGTACATTTTCAACAAAGTTGTCTTTTGGGCTTTCCGACGTTACAGGACGGCCCAAGAGGCGCCCAAGACCGCCCCAAGACGGCCCAAGAAGCTTCCAAGAGGGCCCCAGGACAGCCCAAGAGGGCCCCAAGACGGCCCAAGAGGCGCCCAAGATGGCCCAAGAGGCCCCCAAGACGGGCCCAAGAGGGGGCCCAGAGGGGGACCACGAACCGCAAGCTCGAGCCTTCCGCCCCAAGAGGCCGCCAGGAGGCCCCCAGGAGGCCCCTCAAGAGGCCCCAGGAGACCCCAGTCGTCCAAGGACGCCCCCAAGACGCTTCGCGTCACCAATTTCTTCTCGCAGCGATTCCTGGGTCTGTGACTCGACAGAACCTAAGCGCGCGCGAAGCGCGCGCGTGGTTCTAGTTTTCATATATGCTTCTACACATCGCTGTTAGGTTGCTTTGCCGGGATAATTTTTCTTACTGCCCGTCGTCTTCCTCCTCCTGTTATTCCTCCTCCTCCTCCTCCTCCCCCTCCTCCTCCTCCTCCTCCTCCTCCTCCTCCTCCTCCTCCTCCTCCTCCTCCTCCCCTCCTCCTCCTCCTCCTCCTCCTCCTCCTCCTCCTCCTCTTGTTCCCCCCCCCCCCTCCTTCCCTTTCTCCCTCTCCGTCGCCGGGCAGGGCCGGCGGCGCGACGCGCGCAGGACGGGGGGGGCCACCGCCGACCCAGGAAAGGTCCGCGCGGACCTCCGGTCCCTTCCGTGTTTGTCCTCCGCCTTCCCGGTGCTTCCTCCCTGTGCTCTTGGGGCCGAAAAAAGGCCGCTCTGACCGCTCGCAACCGCCCCCGTCCAGGTCCAGGGGAGGGGGTACGGGGAGGGGTCAAGACCCCCTTCCCGCCCGCAAGCCGTCTCGCCCACTCCCACCCGCCCTCCCAACACATACGTAGCACCCGATTCTGGCCCGAGCCTCAGCATATTCAGCAGTCGTCTTTGGATGGGCAGCTACTGGGGGCCAATCCGCCGCCGCCGCCGCCGCCTCCGCCGCCGCCGCCGCCGCCGCTGCCCGCCGCCGCCGCCGCTGCCCGCCGCCGCCACCGCCGCCGCAGCCGCCGCCGCAGCCGCCGCCGCCGCCGCCGCCGCAGCGCCGCAGCCGCCGCCGCCAACTGTGCTATGTATTGTTTTTTCGACAGGGATGGTGGGAGGGCCGCAGCGGGTTGGCTGCGCATGTTCCGAATTTGGAGGCACAGTGTGGTTTGCATTGTTTTTTACAAGGAATGGTGGCGGGGTGTTGTCATGGACCGTGGTTGGCCCCCAGTCGCCTGGGAGGGGGTGGTTTTATTGATAGGGAACAGTGATCAAGACCCCTTCCCCGCCCGCAAGTCGTCTCGCTGAGTCCCACCCGCCCTCCCAACATATACGTAGCACCCGAGTCTGGCCCGAGCGTCAGCATATTCAGCAGTCGTCTTTGGATGGGCAGCTACTGGGGGCCAATCCGCCGCCGCCGCCGCCGCCGCAGCCTCCGCCGCCGCCGCCGCCGCCGCGCCGCCGCCGCCGCCGCCCGCCGCCGCCGCCGCCGCCGCCGCCCCCCGCTGCCAAACCGCCGCCGCAGCAGCTGCCGCCACCGCCGCCGCCGCCGCCGCCGCAGCCGCCGCCGCCGCCAAGTGTACTCTGTATTGTTTGCAGAGTGTGTTTTGTATTGTTTTTTACAAGGGATGGTGGGGGGGTGTCGTCATGGACCTGGGTTGGCCCCCAGTCGCCTGGGGGAGGGGGTGTTTATTAATAGGGAGCAGTGCTAAACTCCTCCCCCAAGGGGAAGAGGGGATTTTGGAAGAGGAAAGAAAGTCATCGTTAGACCACCTGTCGCCCAAAGGGCCGGTGGGATTTCGCCAGTTGAGCAAAAATTCCCGCCCTGCTGTTCAAACTGCTTGGATGCAGATTTCCGTCCTTTGCCGTCACGGTTTCCGCCGCACTCTTCCGGGAATATCCGCTTTCTTTTCTTGAGACGAGAAGTGCCGCCTTGCTCGTTCGCATTGTTTGCGGAAGTTCCGCCCTGCTCTTTCGCACCGCTTGGGCGCATTCGCGGCACATTTGCACGTCGGAAAACCAACCCAAAGCACGGCGGATCCGAAGTCAGGGCGAGAGGGTGGTCGCCTTCTCATCGTCAATCGGGGCCCCCTGACCCCTCGCGCCATGATCCACGCCACCTTGATGGGGTCGGAGTAAATGGGGTCGGAGGATCGCGCCGCATCGCCGATGCATCGCCGATGTGGCTCGATATGGAGCCCTACTCTCTCCACGCCGGCGTCGCCGACGCGTCCCCGACGTCGCCGATGCATCGCCGATGCGGCGCGGTCCTCCGACCCCATCTGCTCGGTCAAGGGAGGAAGAACCACCCGGACCGGACAACTGGTGTTTATTAAACGGCCCTGAGCGTTTACTGAACTAAATAGCCCGGCCTTGCTCGATTCCTCCAGTGGGGGCGTTTAGTGAACGGCCTCGCGTGTCGGGGTCGTTTTTATGGGGGGGGATTTTTCGAGGACAGGGGATTGTGGAGTATGCGGTCCTCCTCCTCCTCTTCCTCCTCCCTCTCCTCCTCCTCCTCCTCCTCCTCCTCCTCCTCCTCCTCCTCCTCCTCCTCCTCCTCCTCCTCCTCCTCCTCCTCCTCCTCCTCCAGGGAGGTGGGGGGGGCCATCTGGGACCCCACCCAGGAGGCCTCTCAGTGAAGAGCCGGCGACGGAAGCGCTGTCTGGGGCCTTCTCTTCGGCCCCATGGGGGCCGCCGCCCGGCCCCCCGGGGGGCCGCCACACACACGAAAGGACCTGCTGCGTGGACACCGGTCCCGCAGAGGGGGCCCAAGTCCCAGACCCCCTCGAGTCACGAAAAAATCACGACGGGAGGGTTTCCGCCATTTTCGGCCTGTGGGGGCCCGGGCCGGACCTCGGGGCCGTCAAGAAACGGCTCGGGATGAAAAGCCGGTCCCGGGGAATAGGTCGAGACCTCGGGGGGTCGACGTAATGAAAAAATCATGACGTTGGGGGTCCGGGATTGAAGTCGGGCGCGCTCCTCCACAGGAGGAGTATCCAAGCATAGTCTCAAGTGATTGTCTGGGGACGGTGTTTGGCCCAGTTCTGACCATGCGGGAGCATGTTCTGACTGTGATTCATTGTTCGCCGAAAAATCGGCCTGCAGGGGGACATGCCCGACCCAAGCCCAAGTTTCTGGGGGCGCCCGCGTTTTGCAAACGTGTCGGGGGTCTGGGCCCAGGCCTGGGCCGCCCCCACCCCCCACGGAGAGGGAGGAGAGAAATGGCAGGAGCATGCGTTTCCGGAGGTCCGCGCGGCTCTCTTGGATCGACGCCTGTGGTCCCCCTCCATTGTTGGGCCTGTTGTCCACCACCACCACCACCACCATAAGTTGGATGGGGGAAAGGAGGAGGAGGAGGAGGAGGAGGAGGAGGAGGAGGAGGAGGAGGAGGAGGAGGAGGAGGAGGCGAGGAGGAGGACGAGGAGGAGGAGGACGAGGAGGGAGGACGAGAGGACGAGGAGGACGAGGCGGAGGAGGAGGAGGAGGTGGAGGAGGAGGAGGAAGAGGACGAGGAGGACCCCCTCCCGCTCCAACTTCTGGTGGTGGTGGTGGAAAACAGGCCCATCACTCCATCCCTGGCGCGCGGAGCGCGCCAGGGGCGGCGCCGGAGGCGCCGCCTGGAAAGGGCGCAGCGCCGACCCAAGAGGTCGATCCAGCGTAGGCCCCGAGAGGGCCGTGCCGTGCCGTGCCCCGAGTTCGAGCAATGGACCCGCCGCGGGGGAATCCGGCGCCGATCCAGGGATTCCGCGCGGGCCTCCAGACGTTTTTATGCTGATTCATTTGGAGGGGCTTGTCTTGAGAACTCACGCCATCCTGACCCCCGGCGCGCTGAGGAACGGGCCCGCCCACCGCCCACATTGTTCCGTTTCCAGGAAGTCCAGGAAATCCGGCGACGAATTTCAAATCGGCGCTCTCGCGTGGGACATCCTCAAAAAACCAGCTCCCCGAGCCTCCCTCAGAGGACCCTTTTGCGCCGTTTCCAGCGAATCCAGGACATCCGACGATAGACTCCACACTGGCGCCCTCGCGTGGGACATCCTCCCAAAACCGGCCCCCCGAGCTTCCCCAAAGAGGCCTTCAGACCCGCGCCAGGGCGCACCGGGCGTGTCCGTCTCCAGGGCTCTCGCTCGAGACATCCTCCCAAAGTCGAAAACGCTTCAGGCCCACAGCGCCCCCAGGGATCATTACCAGGGAGTTGCCGGCGCGCGCCGGGGCGCACGGGGCGCATCCCATTCGGAGCTATCGTTCGAGGCATCCTCCCAAAGTCGCCCCACCGGGCCCACTTGGACCATTTCTGGGGATCTGCCCGCGCGCGCGCTGGGGCGCGCAGAGCGTGTCCCAGTCCGGGGCCATCGCTCGAGACATCCTCGCAAAGCCGAGAAATTCAGGCCCCACAGCGCCCCGAGCGTGTCGGCAAATCGCCCCCCGAGGGAGGCCCCCGAGGATGATTTCGAGGATGAGCATGCAGGGAGGAAGACGTAGGAGGACGGAGGAGGGTCAAGAAGGGGAGGAGGAGGAGGAGGAGGAGGAGGAGGAGGAGGAGGAGGAGGAGGAGGAGGAGGAGGAGGAGGAGGAGGAGGAGGAGGGGAGAGTTGGAGAGAGGTGTGGAGGAGGATGGTGGAGGAGGATGAGGAGGAGAAGGAGGAGGAGAAGGAGGAGGAGGACGACGAGATTTGGAGGAGGAGGAGGAGGAGGAGGAGGAGGAGGAGGAGGAGTAGGCGGAGGAAAGACCTGCAGGGACCTCACGGGTCATGAGTTTTCCTGGGAGGATGTGGAGGAAAAGGTGGAGGTTGCCAGCATGGGAGCGGGAGCGGCTGGATGCCACCGCCTCCCGCTCTTTCTCCTGTCGCCCACAAGCGCACGCCCCGTCTCTTCTATATACAGAAACTCCCGATCAACCGCAGAGCGGCCGGCTAGTATGTTCATTGTTTCTCTTAGGCGAGCCCCTCGCGAAGCGCCACGCGGGCGTCTCCGTGCTCGGATGCGCCATCGCGATGGTGGCCGTGGGGGGCTGCGCGCAGGGCATCGGCCAGCTCTTCGCGGCGTTGGTGGTCGGCATGGCGCGCAACCCTTCCATGAAGGATCGGGTCGGACGAGCCCTGAAATTGTAGATCTCCGGCGGTTTGTGTTTTTCAGTCCCGGTGTTTTTCTTCGATTTCGGCCTCCGGGGGCCGTCATCGGGCTCGGGGGCCATCAGACAGGTAATTACCTGGGGGCGAGAAGCCATTCCCGGGGATTGGGTCGGCGCTTGTGGGGCCGCAGATGGAAAGAATCACAGCGGCAGATGTCAGGGATCCTGGCACTGGCGACCCCCAGGCCTTTTCGCTTGGAGTTCGGCCTCCGAGGCCATTTTCGGGGGCCCCCGGGATTTGTTCCTATGGGAAAGAAGGTCTGGGAGTTCTGGGGCCGCAGTTTGAAAAAAATACGTCGTCGGATGTCTGGGGATCGCGATTTGCTCATGACGGAAGTCTTCCGCCGCTGAGTGCTCGCCCTCCTCTTCCCCTCCCCGCGGCCCGCCCTGCCCTCCCTTTTCCCTCCTCCTGCATGCCGGCCAACTCGCGTTGCAGTGCCCCTGCATCGCTGCCACGCTTGGGGCTGATTGTCCCGCCTCGCTGCCGACAGAAAAAAGTCTGGGGATCGCAGCTGTTTCACCCCGGGCGTTTTCGCCCGAATGCGGGCCCCAGGGCCTTCGCAGATCGACGCTGCTCGAGAAGTGCAGCGGAAAGATTGGGTTTTGGGGCTCCGGCTGCGATCCCTTACGATGTTGCATGTTTCGCGACGTGTCGGATCTCATTGGGAGGGGGTGTTCGGGAGGGGGCCGTGACTGCCTAGGCCTCCCGAATGCGGTCCGAGTAGACGGCGCCGGTGCATCGCGTCGAATCGCCGATGCATCAGGGATGCCAGTCGGTGTGGCGCCCGACCTTCTCCACGCCTCCACCGCCGATGCACCCTCGCTGTCGCCGACGCCTCGCGGCAGCACCGCCGACCTGTCGGCGGCGCGGGGCAGCTCGCCGACCCCGTATACCCCATCCAGGGGGGCCCCCTGCACAGTCGAGGCGCTGAAGGAAGGGGCAGCCGGGGCACCTGGCTCAGGGGGGGGGGGCGCCGGCTCCTCGGCCCCCGGTCGCCCATGCCTCGCCACCCGGGGGGCTCGGGGGGGCCCTTTCCCAGCCCTCCAGAGCGTGCGGCTTCGGCGTCGGGGGCCCCGCGCCGGCCTGTGGGCGACGCATCGCCATTGCCAGGTCGACGGCTCCCTCCCTGCGCCAGGCCCCACTTTGTGGTTCCGCCTCCTGTTGGAGAATCTGTGCAAGCATGCGGTCGGGAGCTGTTGGTTAGCGTGTCGCGCCGCCAGTGCTGGCCCACCACGCTGTGGCGCGACCCGCTGGCCACTTCCCAGTCCCCAGGCATCAGCGCGCCGAGCGGAGCGACACGCTGTCGGCTTGCAGGGCACAGCGCGTCGTCAGAGCCGCCGCCGCGACATCCTGAGCAAAAGATCCTAAGCAAGAGTGTCAAGACGCTGAAAAGAGGACCACTCTGGGTTCAGGAGGGGCTGCTGGTGTTCCCGGGCCCTTTCTCTGATCCAGGTCGGGAGACTCTTCGTGGACGAGGCTCACCGTAGCCAGTAAGACTCTTCCGTTCCCTGTGTAGCATCCTCATGGTAGCACGATGCTTGCACTTAAGCTGCTACTTAGATGCAGCTGGCTTCGGCCCCGCCAGAGAAGCCCCAGGGGAGGGTGCCCGACATCCCAGTTTCGAATGGGCCCGCGGGAGCGGTTCACAGCTGGTCGCAGATGCAGGCCTGATGACGAGCCCGACTACACACTCTGCTAAGCCTGGGTACGACGGACGAAGAGGGGGGGGGGGCCTGGGAAGGAGGGAGAGTGGCGAAAATCGCTGCAGGCAGCTGTATCGACCCCCGCCGCCAGGCGCTGTCCTCGACGCACGGCCGCCTCCGACGCCAGGCGAGGCGCGGGCGAAAGCTGGCCACGGGAGCCGCTTCGCTGGCCCTCCCCTTCTGCTGCCCCCCCTCTTGCCGCCTCCCCTGCAGGAGGACCTGTTCACCTACACCCTGATCGGGATGGGCTTCCTCGAGTTCCTCGCCATCGTCGTGATCCTCATCGCGGGGCTCCTGCTGTACTCCGAGTGAGCCCACACGGAGCGCGGAGCTCGAGAGCGCCTCGAGGGGGCGCATGGAGAGACCCAGGGAACTCCTCCCCCTCCTCCTCCTCCTCCTCCTCCTCCTCCTCCTCCTCCTCCTCCTCCTCCTCCTCCAGGGAGGGGGGGGCGGGCGGGGCGCGGGCCCCGCTGGGGGCTTCGGGGCGGCTCTGGGTGGCCCTCCTGCCTCCACCCCAGGCATCGCCTGGACGTGTGCCTTATTTTTCTCGGCGGGGGCCACCGGTCGCAGAAGAGAAAAGTCGCCACGAGCATGATTTCTTGGCGCTCCGCGCGGATTTCTTGGATCCGCGCTGGGCCCCACCGGCGGCGCCTCCGGCGCCGCCCCTGGCGCGCTCCGCGCGCCAGGGAGGGGGGGTCCAGCGCAGATCCAAGAAATCTGCGCGGAGCGCCAAAAATTTATGCTTGTGTAGTTTGTTGTTATGATTCGTCTTATCGAGGAGCATCTTGGACCACCTTGTGAACAAATGCACGCACTATATCTAAAAAGGCACTGGGAATGGACGTCCGAGCAATGGCGCGCTACCTCTCCTCCCCCACCCCCTCCGCTCTCTGCCTCCTGGGACAGCCGCGGCGCCCCCGTGAGGCAAGGCGCGGAAGCTTGACGAGTGCTTGATTAGCAGAGCCCGTTGCAAAAAGAATCATGCTCTTCTTTTCCCTCGAGTCGTCGGCATCAGCCTCATCGATCTAACATGATTGTCATCCCCCTCCTAATCCTCCTCCTCCTCCTCCTCATCCTCCTCCTCATCCTCATCCTCCTCCTCATCCTCATCCTCCTCCGCCTCCTCCTGCTTCTCTTGTTTGCACTCGTCCTCGTCCTGTCCCATTCCTGGCTGCGCAGTTCCATCATGCACGCCTCTTGTCTGCTCGCGGCAGCTTCACGCTTCCACAATCGTGCACTCGGCCGAAGGGCAAGTCACAAACGTCTTACTGGCATTCGGCCCATCCCGCCACCCCCAGAATCGGCCGCAGATCGTTTTCGACCCCCCTGCCAAACCCAGCCATACACTCTGCTTGCCCTTTCGTTCGCTGGTATGTTTTTCCTATATGCGGCCCCAGAGGTCCTGGTCGCTTCCCCTGGGGTTTTCGTCCTGGATCATGTTTGATGGCCCCGGGACCCGAGAAGGGGCTCCAGAGACCGAAATCGAACAGGAACGCTCAGACTGAAATAAGGACAGCGAAATGCTGTGGTTTCCGCGAAATGTTCTTAGAACATTTCTGGCGGAGTCTGTCTTGTTTTATCACATCAGTTCTATGTTCTAAGAACATTGTTTTTGTTATTGGAACATTCCTGGGCTCTAAGAACATTTCGTGGTAGGACTATAGGAATGCCAGGACGGTCGGTCCCTACTCAACAGGAAACCCTGAGAAACCATGTGGGGAGCCGTCGGAGAGATCCGGGTGGCAGGCTCGCCGTGCTCGCTGGGCCGCCTCCGAGCGCACACCTCGCTTGCGCTGCGGCCGACGCCCGGCGCAGTGCCTCTCGCGGGGCGCACGGCCGCCAGGCGCTGCACGTCGATGATCTCGGCCGCGCCGGCTCCGTGGACGAGCTCGGCGGAGCCGAGCCCCTGGGCAATCTCAAGCTCGGCTACGCGGCTGGCGGAGCGGCTCCGGCAGGAGCTCAGAGATCACGCCCGATTCGGGCCTCCCGGGTCCGCGCCAGAGGTTTGCCCCAGAGTGCATTCAGCTCGAGCTCTCCGGGGTCACATTCTGCCCCGTGTAGATATTGTCCAGCCTGCGATTGGAAGAGGAGCTGTTCCAGATCAAGCGGTTCCAGGCTTGTCCTGGATCACAGTTGGGGACACCAGACGGACGGACCAGGTCTATTCCAGATAATCAAGTCGGGTGGTGCCTCAGGAGCTGCGGGTTTGCTTCGAGCCCGGAACTCCCACGAACTGATCTGTTCAATCCTGGCGTTCTTCCTCTATTTCGGCCTCTGGGTCCCGCCATCGGGCCCCGAGGGCACTGAGAGTGAGTCCAGGACGAAAAGTTGCCCCTGGGGGAGGAGTCGGGACCTCGGGGGCCGCGCATGGAAAAGGTCAGATGGGCAGATGTCAGGGATGAGGAGGAGGAGGAGGAGGTGGAGGAGGAGGAGGAGGAGGAGGAGGAGGAGGAGCAGGAGGAGGAGGAGGAGCAGGAAGAGCAGGAGGAGGAGGAGGAGGAGGAGAAGGAGGAGGAGGAGCCTGCCGCGCATGGGCCCTGTACAAAAAGGGTCTCTCGCCCGAGTGCAGGCCCACCCGGCACTTGTCATTCAGGGGGGGGGGGGGAGCGGAGGACGCGCAATGGGGCGCGATCAATGGGAGGGCAGCGAGGGCGGGCTGCTGGAAAGGGGCCCTTGAGGGCCCTTGAAGGGGCCCAGAGGGGGCCCCCTGGGGTCCGACAAGGGCACCTTTCTTCCCCCTCAGTCATCGCCCACGCATGAAGTCGCGCCCAAGGGGGGGGGGGTCCCGCAGTGGAAAGGGATGCTTGCAGGGGCCTGTGAGGAGGGGGCTTGGGACGCAGGAGGGCTCATGGCAGCATCGTCGATGCATCCTTGGTTTGCTTCTGTCCTCCCTCCTCCTCCTCCCCCTCCTCCTCCCCCTCCTCCTCCTCCACAATTAAACAATCTGAATACTACTCTCCCCTCTCCCCTGGTGGCGTCCGGGGATTGTTCGACCCCCCTCGGCGTACTGGTTTTGTTACACAGGATTCCCGGGAGCTGGGTTTTCGCCCGGGCTCTTGTTCAAAATGCTGCTCTCGCTGAAGCGCTGGCTTCATGTTCGGGCTACCGCGCGTTCCCAATCGTGCTCCCGCTGCAGCGCTGGCCTCATTTCCGCGCTTCCGCTCGTTCCGAATCGTGCTCCCGCTGCAGCGCTGGCGTCATGATTTCCAGCGCCATGCCACGGCATAATTTTCGGCCCTTCCAAATAGCTCCAACATTTAGAAAATGGCCCCCCGAAAAAACCATCGGAAGTGATTACGCTACCGAGGACCCCCACATACTTATTTTATGTCACGTGTGTTCACAAACCATATCACATCCCGCTTCGCCATCCTGACGAGCCAGGCTGACCAGACCAGCCAGATCAGCCAGACCAGCCAGACTGACCAGACCAGTCGGATCAGTCGTTCCAGCCATAACCAGCCAAAGTAATCAGACCAGCCAGCCAGGCCAATCAAACAGAGCACCCACACGAGCCAGCCAGGCCAACCAACCACACCAACCAGACCAACCAGACCAAACCAACCAGACCAGACCAGACCAGACCAACCAGACCACGCCAACCAGACCAACCAGTCGAACCAGCGTCGTCGTACTGAGTATACTCAGCGTCGTCGTCGTACTGCTGTGCCTGGACGACCGTCGTGCATAGCGGCCTCAGTGAGAGACCACCCCCTGCGCACCCCCTGTGGTGTCGAGAAAGTGCCACGCCTGCTGTGCCTGGACGACCGTCGTGCATAGCGGCCGCGGAGAGAGACCACCCCCTGCGCAACCCCAGTGGCGTCGAGAAAGTGCCACGCTTGCCGTGCCTGAACGACCGTCGTGCATAGCGGCCGCGGTGAGAGACCACCCCCTGCGCACCCCCTGTGGTTTCGAGAAAGTGCCACGCCTGCTGTGCCTGGACGACCGTCGTGCATAGCGGCCGCGTGAGAGACCACCCCCTGCGCACCCCCTGTGGTGTCGAGAAAGTGCCACGCCTGCTGTGCCTGGACGACCGTCGTGCATAGCGGCCGCGGTGAGAGACCACCCCCTGCGCACTCTCTTATGCCGCCGGGAGAAGTGCCACGCCTGCTGTGCCTGGACGACCGTCTTGCATAGCGACCTCAGTGAGAGACCACCCCCTGCGCACCCCCTGTGGTGTCGAGAAAGTGCCACGCCTGCTGTGCCTGGACGACCGTCGTGCATAGCGGCCGCGGAGAGAGACCACCCCCTGCGCACCCCCATGGTGTCGAGAAAGTGCCACGCCTGCTGTGCCTGGACGACCGTCGTGCATAGCGGCCGCGTGAGAGACCACCCCCTGCGCACCCCCTGTGGTTTCGAGAAAGTGCCACGCCTGTGCTATTGTGACCACGCCTGCTGTGCCTGGACGACCGTCGTGCATAGCGGCCGCGGTGAGAGACTGCGCACCCCCTGGTGGTGTGCGCGAAAATGCACCCCCTGCGCACCCCCTGTGGTGTCGAGAAAGTGCCACGCCTGCTATGCCTGAGCGATAGCGGCCGCGCTCAGGGACCACCCCCTGCGCACCCCCTGTGGTGTCGAGAAAGTGCCACGCCTGCTGTGCCTGCGACCGTCGTGCATAGCGGCCGAACTGAGAGACCACTCCCTGCGCACCCCCTGTGGTGTCGAGAATGTGCCACGCCTGCTGTGCCTGGACGACCGTCGTGCATAGCGGCCGCGGTGAGAGACCACCCCCTGCGCACCCCCATGTGGTGTCGAGAAAGTGCCACGCCTGCTGTGCCTGGACGACCGTCGTGCATGGCGGACGCGGTGGGAGACCACCCCCTGCACAGCCCCTGTGGTGTCGAGAAAGTGCCACGCCTGCTGTGCCTGGACGGCCGTCGTGCATAGCGGCCGCGGTGAGAGACCACCCCGTGCGCACAGCCCCTGTGGTGTCGAGAATGTTCCCCGCCTACTGTGCCTGGACGACCGTCGTGCATAGCGGCCGCGGTGAGAGACCACCCACTGCGCACCCCCTGTGGTGTCGAGAAAGTGCCACGCCTGCTGTGCCTGGACGACCGTCGTGCATAGCGGCCGCGGTGAGAGACCACCCTGTTGTGTCGAGAAAGTACCACGCCTGCTGTGCCTGGACGACCGTCGTGCATAGCGGCCGCGGTGAAGGCCACCCCTGCGCACCCCCTGTGGTGTCGAGAAAGTGCCACGCCCTGTGCCTGGACGACCGTCGTGCATAGCGGCCGCGGTGAGAGACCACCCCCTGCGCACCCCCTGTGGTGTCGAGAATGTGCCACGCCTGCTGTGCCTGGACGACCGTCGTGCATAGCGGCCGCGGTGAGAGACCACCCCTGCGCACCCCTGTGGTGTCGAGAAAATGCCACGCCTGCTGTGCCTGGACGACCGTCGTGCATAGCGGCCGCGGTGAGAGACCACCCCCTGCGCACCCCCTGTGGTGTCGAGAAAGTGCCACGCCTGCTGTGCCTGACGACGTCGTGCACAGCGGCCGCGGTGAGAGACCACCCCCTGCGCACCCCCTGTGGTGTCGAGAAAGTGCCACGCCTGCTGTGCCTGGACGACCGTCGTGCTAGCGGCCGCGGTGAGAGACCACCCTGCGAGAAAGTGCCACGAGGCTGTGCTGGACGACCGTCGTGCATAGCGGCCGCGGTGAGGGACCACCCCCTGCGCACCCCCTGTGGTGTCGAGAAAGTGCCACGCCTGCTGTGCCTGGACGACCGTCGTGCATAGCGGCCGCGTGAGAGACCACCCCCTGCGCACCCCCTTGGTGGTCGAGAAAGTGCCACGCTTGCTGTGCCTGGGCGACCGTCTGCATAGCGCCGCGGTGAGAGACCCACCCAGTGGTGTCGAGAATGTGCACGCCTGCTGTGCCTGGACGACCGTCGTGCATAGCGGCCGCGGTGAGAGACCACCCCCTGAGCACCCCCTGTGGTGTCGAGAAAGTGCCACGCCTACTGTGCCTGGACGACCGTCGTGCATAGCGGCCGCGGTGAGAGACCACCCTTGCGCACCCCCGTGTGTCGAGAGAGTGCCACCGCCTGCTGTGCCTGGACGACCGTCCGTGCATAGCGACCTCAGTGAGAGACCACCCCCTGCGCACCCCCCTGTGGTGTCGAGAAAGTGCCACGCCTGCTGTGCCTGGACGACCGTCGTGCATAGCGGCCGCGGTGAGAGACCACCCCCTGCGCACCCCCTGTGGTGTCGAGAATGTGCCACGCCTGCTGTGCCTGGACGACCGTCGTGCATAGCGGCCGCGGTGAGAGACCACCCCCTGCGCACCCCCTGTGGTGTCGAGAAAGTGCCACGCCTGCTGTGCCTGGACGACCGTCGTGCATAGCGGACGCGGTGAGAGACCACCCCCTGCACAGCCCCTGTGGTGTCGAGAAAGTGCCACGCCTGTTGTGCCTGGACGACCGTCGTGCATAGCGGCCGCGGTGAGAGACCACCCCCTGCGCACAGCCCCTGTGGTGTCGAGAATGTTCCACGCCTACTGTGCCTGGACGACCGTCGTGCATAGACGCCGCGGTGAGAGACCACCCCCTGCGCACCCCCTGCAGTTTCGAGAAAGTGCCACGCCTGCTGTGCCTGGACGACCGTCGTGCGTAGCGGCCGCGGTGAGAGACCACCCTGTGGTGTCGAGAAAGTACCACGCCTGCTGTGCCTGGACGACCGTCGTGCATAGCGGCCGCGGTGAGAGACCACCCCCTGCGCACCCCCTGTGGTGTCGAGAAAGTGCCACGCCTGCTGTGCCTGGACGACCGTCGTGCATAGCGGCCGCGGTGAGAGACCACCCCCTGCGCACCCCCTGTGGTGTCGAGAAAGTGCCACGCCTGCTGTGCCTGACGACCGTCGTGCATAGCGGCCGCGGTGAGAGACCACCCCCTGCGCACCCCCTGCGGTGTCGAGAAAGTGCCACGCCTTGCTGTGCCTGGACGACCGTCGTGCATAGCGGCCGCGGTGAGCGCGTGAGAGACGCCACAGCGTGTGCGCACCCCCTGTGGTGTCGAGAAAGTGCCACGCCTGCTGTGCCTGGACGACCGTCGTGCATAGCGGCGCGGTGAGAGACCACCCCCTGCGCACCCCCTGTGGTGTCGAGAAAGTGCCACGCCTGCTGTGCCTGGACGACCGTCGTGCATAGCGGCCGCGGTGAGAGACCACCCCCTGCGCACCCCCTGTGGTGTCGAGAAAGTGCCACGCCTGCTGTGCCTGGACGACCGTCGTGCATAGCGGCCGCGGTGAGAGACCACCCCCTGCGCACCCCCTGTGGTTTCGAGAAAGTGCCACGCCTGCTGTGCCTGGACGACCGTCGTGCATAGCGGCCGCGGTGAGAGACCACCCCCTGCGCTGCCACGCCTGCCACGCTCTCCGACCCTGGCACGCATAGACGCCGCGGTGAGAGACCACCCCCTGCGCACCCTCTCTGGTGTCGAGAAAGTGCCACTCCTGTGTTGTGCTGTGCCGAGCTGAGCTGTGCTGAGCAGCGCTGTGTTGTGCTGCGCTGCGCTGTGTTGTGAAGTGTGCTACGCGTGTCTCATGTGCGCGCCTGCCGTGCGTGCGTGCTGTGATGTGCGTGAGGTGAGAAAGAAGGAGAAGGAGAGGGAGGAGAAGGAGGAGGAGACGCGGGTGAGACGCGGAAGGGAAGAAAACCAGAACCCCACGAAGCATGTGGGGAATTACACATTCGGTGCCGGTTCGCCGCTCTTGGGGGCCGCAGAAGCCCCCCACATTGGGGCGTCGCCACGCCATGCTATGTCAGGTTCCGCGTCCTCATTTCCGCGTTTCCGCGCTTGGGCTTTTGTTCAAAGTGCTTCTCTCGCTAAAGCGCTGGCCTCATTTTCGGGCTACCGCTCGTTCCGAATCGTGCTACCGCTGCAGCGCTGGCATCATATCCGCGCTTCACTCGTTCCGAATCGTGCTCCCGCTGCAGCGCTGGCGTCATTATTTCCAGCGCCATGCCGCGGCATGGTTGCCGGTCCTTCCAAATAAGCCTCAAAATCTAAACAATAGCCTCTCGAAGAAACCATCCGAAGTGATTACACATTCGGTGTCGACTCGTTGATTGTTTGGGCCACAGAAGCCCCCCCCCCTTTGGGGCGTCGCCACGCCATGCTGTGTCATGCTACGCGTTAACATTCAACACCATGCTATGCCATGTAATGCTATGCCATGCTACGACATCCGATTGTACGTATAGAGAGGAGATCTACGCCATGGTAAGGGATGGGAGGGAGGGATAGGACGTCAGATAAGACGCGAGCGCACCTAGCTTGTCCTTCACCCCCTCCCTCCTCCCCCATCCGATCTTCCTCCGTCCTCCCCTTACCCCAGTCCTCCTCCGTCGTCGTCCCCAGATTTCACAATCCGCTCAAAATCGGCCCCTGGACCTCTACATGTCTCCATCCTGGCCCGTTTCCCGATCTGCGTCCAGCCATGGCCACGAAGATTTCGAGAAGCGCTCAAAAGCCTCCGAGACGACGACGACGACGACGACGACGACGACGACGACGACGACGACGACGACGACGACGACGGCGGCGGCGGCGGCGGCGGCGGAGGCGGCGGAGGCGGAGACGCCGGCTGCGGCGGCTGCGATGACGGTGGTGACGACGACCACGACGTCGGTCGCTGGTCGTCGGTGGTGGGCGGTCGAGCCCCCGGTTGTAAGCGGCACGCTCTAGTCGCACACGCGCGCAGAGTCCGCCAGCTGATTGGCCAGATCGAGACACTCGCAGCCGCCTGGTCCTGGGCCTCCGCGTCGATCCGGCGGCAGGCCAGGAGGGACGCCGCCGCGGTGCCACCGGTGGATCTCCCGTGGGTCGTCGATCGTCCGTCGGTCGTCGTCGGCGGCGGCGGTCGGCGGTCGTCGGACGTCGTCCTCGTCGGTCGTCGTCGGCGGCGGCGGCAGTCGGCGGACGCCGGCCGGCGGCCGCACGGGCGCCCGAACGCCCGAGGAGACGGCGGCGCCCTGCGGCCCAGGGGCCCACCCCAGGGCGCGCGCGGTTGCCTTCCGTGTTGGGCGCCCAGGGAGGGGGTCCTCCTCCTCCTCCTCCTCCTCCTCCTCCTCCTCGTCCTCCTCCTCCTCCTCCTCCTCCTCCTTCTCCTCCTCCTCGTCCTCCTCCTCCTCCTCCTCCTCTTCTTCGTCCTTCTTCTCCTCGTCCTTCCAGAGGGGGGCAACGATAAAGGGAGGGGGACAGGCATAAGGGGGGATGCATCGACCCCCCATCGCCTATTGATCGCCGATAGGGGCCCGATGGTCCCAACCTGCCCAGGGAGGTGCGGATTCACTATCGGTGGCCTATCGCCGATCTATCGGCGCTGTATCGCCGAGCTGGGTCGATGCATCCCCCCCTGTGCCAGTCCCCCCTATCATTGCCCCCCAAGACTTTCGGTTCCCTGGTTGATTTTTGAAGACAGCATCTCTACATAAGATCGCTTCGGCATATACCCAGAGCGCCCCTGCTTACAGCCCGAAGGAGCTAAAATGGCACAAACATAAAGTGTCGACGGTCCGCACGGATCTCTTGGACATTTGCCCTGGAGCGCCCTGGCGGCGCCTCCGGCGCCTCCCCGGCGCGCTCCGCGCGCTGGGGAGGGGGTTCCAGCGCAGATAGAAGAATCTCGGGAATTGACGAAAATTCATGTTTATGTTGTTTTGTTTTCCTCCTCCTCCTCCTCCTCCTCCTCCTCCTCCTCCTCCTCCTCCTCCTCCTCCTCCTCCTCTTCCTCCTCCTCGCGCTTATTTAGCATTTAGCCAGACCTGATTTTCGGAAGCGCGAAGGGGAAATCTGACACCATTACCAAAACCACGCGCGCAGGCGCAGACCGGCCTCCCAGAGGTTTGCAAGGAGTCAAGAGGGATCCCAGGGCAGACCTTGGGCCGCTCTCGTCACAGGCCCCCCATCGGGTCACGATAAAATCAAGGCGGGAAGGTTTCCATTGTTTTCGGCCTCAGGGGGCCCTCGCGTCCTTCAAAAATCAGCTCGGGATGAAAGCCAGGTCCCGGGGAAGGGGTCCAGTCCTCTGAGGGTCCACGTCGTGAAAGATCATGGCGGTGGGGGTCTGTTCCTCGGATGCTCTGCGGCCGCAGCGGTGGTGGGGCCTCAGCACGGCCGAGCCAGCGGGACATTCCGTGTGTCGGCGACGGCGTGGGACACGGGGCATCGAGCAGCCACAGCACGGGGGGCGGCAGAGGAATTTAGTGGCGCACCGAGCTCTAGAGCTTGGCGCGTTGTTCGCCGCGGCGCCGGCGATCGTTCGGAGCGGGAAGGCCCAGGTCGGGTGGCGAAGCGGCCAGGACCACGGAGGCGGGGGTACAGGGCGAGGGCGGCCGCGACGAGCCGGGGGCGGCGGGGCGGGCGAGATGCTCAGAGAGCAGGCAGGTCCGTCACGCCGGCGAGGCGGCCAGGCTCTCGGTTCGGGGGCGGCCAAGAGGGGGGCGATGATTGGGGGGGGGGGATATCATGGCGGGGGCCATGATATCTCCCCAGATGTCATGGCGCCTCTTCTGATTTCAATGCGTCCCCACCCCACCCCCCCCTGGGCCGCGCACGTGCCGCTGACCATGATTTGCACTCCCCCCCTCCTGGATGCCCTTCTCTTGGCCGCCCCCCGCGTGGCCGCCCCTGATCGGCAGGAGCTGGGCCAGAGCGTCACCCCAGCATACAGTCGGACCGAGGCATAAAGTCGAGGCACAGATGGCTCCCCGGATGAGGCTAGGCAGCAGAGAAGATCGCGCGACATGTTCCTGCAGGACGTTCTTCTGGCCGAGATTCGACTGCACTACTGTTATATGTGTGCGTCGCCCCCCCAGGGGCGACGCGCGCGCCGAGAAACCTTACTCTGTAAGTCACCACCCACCAAATCACCCTAATCCAACCCGGAGACCCCGAGGAACCCGCACCTCCCCCCACCCAAAATCCGGGTCCTCGGGTCAGGTTGGGGTGGTTTGGTAGGTAGTCAGCAAGCTCCGTGGCAGCCGCTTTCTGGCCATACCGCTCGGGGAACGATACGGTGGGGGCGTTTGGTAAGGAATGTGCTCAGGATGCTGCAGACCCTGCAGGATTCCTTCTCTGATGAGGGCCGCGAGGACATCGATGGCCACTCCACGATTGGAGTTCCACTGGCGTCCAGACCCTGGATTCCTTATCCAATGGGTTCCTTATATAACTCCGTCACCGTACGCTACAAGCTTGTTCTTCTGGCCGAGGTTCGACTGCACTGGCGCTATATGTGCGCGTCGCCCCCCGAGGGGCGACGCGCGCGCCAAGAAAACTTGCAGTGTAAGCTCCGAGGCGGGCGCTTTCCGACCATACGAGGTTCGATTGCACTGGTGCTATATGTGCGCGTCGCCCCCCCAGGGGCGAAGCGCGCGCCGAGAAATCTTGCAGTGTAAACGCTCCGAGGCAAGCGCTTTCTGACCATACCGCTCGGGAAACGATGCGCTACACGATGGAGGAAGAGGAGGAGGAGGAGAAGGAGGAGGAGGAGGAGGGGGAGGAGGAGGAGGAGGAGGAGGAGAGGGAGGAGGGGGCGCTGCCATTCGACGCATTGCCTCCTCCGGCGCCGGGAGGCGACGGAGAAGCAAGCCACGCGAGTCGGCGGAGGCAAAAGGGGTGGATAGCCTAGGGGCGTGCATGCATGTAGTACACGGATTTGCTGGGGAACTTCGCCGGAAGCATCAGCGATAGGAGCCTTAGGACACATGCAATGGCCCCCCCATGTGCTAACGCCCCTGTTGCAGACGCCGAGTGGGCTGATTCCCTAACCCCCCCTCTGTCTAGGTCACCCCCAGTGGTGCGCGGCGCGGAGATGCTCGCGCTTCGTGCGTGGCGGCCTGGACCAGAGAGCTGCCCTTGTCCGAGATGGCTCCGCGAGGATGCGAAGGTGACCGCGCATCGCGGGGCGCGATGCGCCAAGTTGGGGCGACCCAGTTTGCGATCGATCGTGCCACGCTGCTCGTCGTGCCCCCGCTGGCGTCACGCGCGGCGGGGCCCCCAGACGGCCGACGTCGTGAGTTTCTCACCGCGTGGCTCTCCAGAGGCCTGCGCCCCTTCCCCCGGGCCGGCTTCTCGTCCCAAGCCGTCTCCTATCCTCCCGAGGCCCAGGAAGGGCCCCCCGAGACCGCAGACGACCAAAGCCTCTCGTCGTGGTCTCTGCCACGGCGCGAGGAGGACTGGGCACTTCTCCCCGACGCGTGGGCAGGGCAGCAGCGGTCGCCGAGCGGCCTGGGGCCCCGCGCCGGCTCGTCGGGGCGGCCGTGGGCCGCGGGGCCGTGTCGGCGAGCGCCGGCCGGCCGCCCGCGCGGTCGGCGGCAGCACGGTGGGCGCGAGAGCGGCGGGCCTGCCGCGAGCGCAGGCCCCGAGAGGGCCGTGCCGCACTCAGCACCGGGCTGCGGCCGCTCCCTGTGGGTCGGCAGCGAGGGCCGTCGCCAGCGCCTGGGGGACGCCGGCGGGCCGCGCCAGGGCAGCGGCACATGGGGCCAGTTCGGCTCGGCTGCACGTGGGAGTGGCCCTTCGCCGGAGTGGCCTCCGGTGCGGGCTTCCTGTCGCCTAGTGCGACGCTGCAGCAGCGGCGTGTGCGCTCGGGCTCGGCCTCCCCGCGGCCCTCGGGAGTCGCGCACCACAGAGGTCCACTGGCTGCCTGGGGTCACTCTGGCGTGCAGCCCGCAGCTGGGAGAGAGAGGAGGGCGGCGCAGAGAGCCTGCGCCACGAGCAGTGCGCAGGCGGCCGCAGGCGCCGAGAGCTGGTGAAGTGGAAATCAGGCACGCGCTGAGGGGGGTGGGGGGAGGGGGAAGGGCTTCTTAGAAGCACCCCTGCTTTCTATAGAAGGCGCGGGCCTTACCTACAGATGTAAGGCCGGCGCCTTCTAAGAAGCAGCCTCCTTCTAAGAAGCACTCCCCCCTCCCTCCATCCCAGTGTGCGCGCCGCCAAGGAAGGTGAGCGGCTGGTGCGAGCTGCTGACCCACTGCAGGGGCAGGCCATCGTCCACTGGGCGGCAGGCAGAGTGCCTGTGCTGGGCCAGGACGGGCGTCGGCCGTCGTCGAGGGGGTCTGGCCCCGCGGGACGGCGTTGCAAACGTGCGGTCGGCACCTCTGGATCGGCGTGTCGCGCCGCCGGCTCTGGCCCACCACGCTGTGGCGCGGCCCGCTGAAGAACCACGTCCGAGCCCCTGGGCATCAACGCTCTGAGCTTTTGCCAGCTTCCCGTCCCGCGGAGCGGAGCAACACGCCGTCAGCCAGCAGGGCATAGCGTGTCGCCGGGGCCGCCGCGGCGACATCCTAGGCAACAGCACCTGACTGTAAGCTGGCGGAGGGCCGCGTGGATGTTAGGATCGGCGCTGTACAGTCAAGACTCTGACATGAGGACCACACTGGGCTCTGGAGGGGCGTTGGTTTTGACGGGCCTTTCCCTCAGATCTGGGTCGGGGAACCTTTTCGTGGTCGAGGCTTGGCATGTCCAGAAGAGCCCCTTCGTCCCTTATTCAGCCTTCCTTCTGGTGGCATGGTGACTGTAAGATTACGAGGAGGTCCGCGGGGATCTCTTGGATCGGCGTTGAGCCCCCTTCCCTGACGCGCAGAACTGCGAGAGTTGGATGCGACGACCTGGGGAGAAGGGAACACACGACAAAGCACAAAGAACAGTCATGGTAATCGAGCGCATACGACTCGGGCTGCGGCTCGGGCTGCAGCTTGGGCTGCGGCGACGCGGGCTGCGGCTGCGACTCGGGCCGTAGCTCGGCTGCGGCTGCGGCCCGGAGCCTGCGGCGCTTGGGTTCGCGTCTAGGCGGTGCTGTTCAGTCCTGGCCGCCGGGCTGGTCATGCTGGATCCGGGCGCCCGGTAGTCGGCGGCGACGATAGGGGCGAGTAGCCCAGGGGCGGGCATTACACCCATTCGTCCGGGAGCCTCGCCGAAGGCATGGACCATCGACGCCCTTGGATACATGTAGTGATCTCCCCTGGGCAATTGGCCCCCATCGCCGCCCCCGACGGGCGCCCAGTAGCTCGGGGGCCCCCCGAACGATGCGATGACCGCGCCGTGGGGCGAGTCGGTGGGGCTTGTCGGTGCTATGCCGCGCGGTGATGGGACTTGGGCCGTTCTCCGAGGGCGTTGTTCGCGCGACCGGGGCGCCCGTGGTCCCGCAGCAGTGCGAGCACCCCTCGGAAGTACGAGGCCTTGTCCTCGTCATCCCTGACCTCGTGCCACACGCTTGGCATCGCTCGGACGTGTGCATTTTTCCTTCGGCGAGGACCATCGAGCAGCATCCTTGATCATTTGGCGACAAAAACACGCACGAAACCTAAAAAAGCACAGGGAATGGACGTCCGAGCGATGGCGAGCACGGGGACCAGCGACGAGCCCTGCTGGTTGAGGAAGACCCCCGCTGGCAACTCGAACTTGAAGATGTCGTCCACCTTGGACGCAGCAACAATCAGGATGGCGGCGACCTGCGGTGATGGACCGTGCGGTGAGGTGTTTCGAGATTCCGAGGTCACAGCAGGGTCCTTCACCGTACCGTCTTGGGAGCTCAAATTGCGGTGGTCATTGAACAGGGGGGAGGTCGAAGATTGCAGGAAGGTGGTCCGACAGGGGCCCAGAGCTCCCCCTTAGCTGTCCTCGCGGGCCCATAGAAGGCGCTGGAAAGGCGCGCGTTTCTTTCCTCCCACCCCCCCGTTGACGAACGCCCGCATGCTTCGGCTACACGCAAGAAGTCGGAGGGTACGGCGGCTGAAGCCAGAAGGAAAGGAGGCGGATTGAAAGGGCCTTGCGGACGTTGTCGTCGGATCCTGGAGGCCCCCCTGCCCCAGGAAGCGTTTCAACAGTTGCGCCTCGCCGAGGGCGTTCGGGGGGTGCCCGAGTCGTCCCGAACGGCCGATGGAGACCCGAGAGTGGGACCCGAACGCCAGGAGGGGGAGAGCTTTTCCCTTCGCGGATGTGGCCTTTGGTGCGCGGCTTTCGGGTGGCTTTCGGGGGGGGGAGGAGGGGTAAACCCAAGCACGCGGGCCGCCACGATGCAGACCCGAGAGTGGGACCCGAACGCCACGAGTGGGAGAGGGTCCCTTCGCGGATGTGGCCTTTGGTGTGCGGCTTTCGGGCGGCTTTCGGGGGGGGAGGGGGCGTAGGAGGGTCAGGAGGGGAGAAAAGAAAAAAACAAAAAAAAAAAAAAAAAAAATGAATCGTCGATTCCCCAGAGAAGATGGGAAAATGTGGGAAGTGGGGGGGAGGGGGGACAAAAACCCCGGGAAAATGTGGGGAGTCTTGCTCTGTGTGTGTACTTGTGTGTGTGTGTGCCCCAGGGCCCCTTCAGAGGGCTAGGCCCAGGCACGCGGGCCGCCACGGCCACGCCGCACGCAGCGGCGTCGGCGAGCCGCGCCCCCAAGAGGCCACTCCTGCCTACAGCGCCGTTGTTAATACATGCTCCGCGTGCGGATCGTGTATGAAAAAATGCATGGATTTAGAAACAACGAGGAGTTCGTGCATAAGTTTGTTCACACATCAGTCATGCATTAAACATCCGATATGTTTAGAAATCTCATGTATTAAAAACTGCCCTGTACGGGGCCGCTCCCCTCCGCGCCGCCGAGGGGTCCGCCCCGCAGCGGCGCGCGGCGAGGCGCTTCGCCCCGCGCGCCGCGGCCCAGGCCCGAGGGCGGCCCTTCCCCCCGGGGAGCTGCGCGAGGGCGCGAGGCGAAGCGCGAGTCGCGCCTCGCGGGGCACGCGGGGCGCGAAGCTGGGCCCCAGCGAGGAGGACGAGGAGGAGCAGGAGGACGAGGAGGAGGAGGAGGAGGAGGAGGAGGAGGAGGAGCAGGAGGAGGAGGAGGAGGAGCGTCAGAGCTCTAGGCCCCGGGCTCGTGTCGGAGACCGCGACGCCTGGCCCGCTGGCCCGTCACCGCGTTGGAAGCTTTGGCTCTCGCAGCGGTAGTTGCCCCGATGGTTGGTAGTGGCAACGTCATCGTGTAGTGGTAGCATCCTGGGCTGCAAAGGACGTCGAGTCGAGTCGGATCCCCTACACTCCCTGCTACTCCTCACTCTTCACGCCCCGACCATCCCGTCCCTCCTCACCCTCCTCCCTCATCAGAGGCCCCCTGCTGCGTATCGGCATGTCCTTCCCTCCGAAGCCATTCGGGCTCAAGGAGGCAGCAGTCTCTCTGCATCCTTACTACGACTAGTTTCGCATCACTGCATTTGCGCGTCGTTGTTCGCGCGTTCTCCATCCATGAAACTCGGGTCGGCATGCTTGAAGTTTGTAGTTTCCACGACGATGCTTCGCTTAGCAATGGCGATGCAGATGATGGGCGTGGTCGACAGCGGCATCAAGTCCAGCAAGAGGGAGCCGATGCTTAATTATTCGGTCTTCTCGCGAGCCAGTGACGCTGAGGCGCTACACAACACCACAGACATTGCAACCAGCCGCCAGGGCGCAGAGGCCGAGTCTTTCGAAGCATGCGGGCAGACGTGGACGTACGGGGACGTCGTCTATTGGTCCCGGATGCCAGACAAAGAGTCGCACATCGCTTGTGCATCGGCCAGGGACAGTGCTACCGTCGGCATTTGCAGGGGGGACGGCAAAGGGCACACACATTTCTCGTTCTGCCAGAGCCCGCCAGCAGGCATGTGCGCAGGACTGAACGGCAACCTTTGGTTCGTGTTCTGTAACGACCTGCTGCGACCGACTGAGGCGCCGACCGCATCACCGACGGCCTCGCCGACGGTTGAGCCCACGGCAGCGCCGACCGCAGCACCGACGACCTCGCCGACAGCTGGGCCCACGGCGGCGCCGACCGCAGCACCGACGGCCACGCCGACAGCTGGCCCCACATCAGCGCCCACGGCCACGCCCACGGCGTCGCCGACGCACGCGCCCATTCTCGAAAACTCGCAGATCTATGATCCGCCGGCGGCCACCGACCCGCCGCCGGCCTCGGGGCCGACGTACGACCCGCCGCCAGCCGCGGGGCCGACGCACGATTCGCCGCAAGCCGAGGGCTCAACGGGAGCAGCCAGTGCACCTGGGACACAGGTGGGGGTCTTGCCGCCCGAAATGAACATGCCGATCCCAGTCCACGATTTCGACCCATACAACGACAACGCCGACGTGAAGGACGACCCTCACGTGAACAACCTCAGGAACGAGCGCTTCGACATCCGAAAACCCTCCGAGTACCTGCTGTTGCGCGTGCCGCTCGACGAACAGCTCCCCGCGGCCATGGAACTCACCGCCGGCGTCGCTGCCGACGGCATTACCGAGTGCGGCGTGTACGTCAAGAACGTGACCTTCCGTGGCACTTGGTTCAACGGGCAGACGGTGCGAATCCGCCCCCACACTCGGAACGTGGCTGGGTCGAACCAGGCTGGAGACCAGACTCGCACGAATTTCTCCTTGCAGGTGTCCGAGCAGCAGGTGTCCCAGCCGCGGTGGAGGTCCTTCTCGTTCGAAGAGGCCGGTTCGATCATCAGCGAGGCTTCCACTGGACAGGTCGGCGCCAGGTTCTTCATGAGGGAGGAATTTGGGAAGCGTTTGGAGGGCCAGGCGTTGGAGTTCCGCATGGGCGAGGCGGCAGGTCAGAGGAGGAAAAGGTGCCGATGCCGCTACCCCTTGCCTCGTGTTCACCCGGGCCTTATGGGAAGCTCTCGTCGCCATGGCTGGATTCGCCGTGAAAGTCTTGTCAGAACGAACCCTGGGCGAGGTCAAGGGAGTAGCGTCAAGTCGGGCCTGTCCCTCTACAGGAGGAATATTCCAAAATGTTCAAAAAAATACTCTGGGGACGATTTTTGGACTATGCTTGACTATTTTTGCATATGTATTGACTAGTCTTTATTTGTCCTCCAAAATCTGCCTGTAGGGTGACATGCCCGACCTAAGAGCAGCGGCGTCGGTGTCGTGTTGTTTCCCCAGCAGGGGCAAGTGTTGTCGTCTCGCAGGCCGCCCACCAGGCTTTGAACATAGAGATGAGGCACCTGTCCAAGCTGGGCGCGGATCGCATGGGCGGGCTGCTGGGCACAGAGTCCCACGACAGGGAGGTAGAGGAGGACACGTACGAGTGCAAGATGGAGGTGGCCAAAAGGCAGCCGAACATGAGGATAAGCCACGACGACGTCAGCGAGAAGATGAGGCGGAGAGTGCGAGAAGGGAGGGAGAGTTCCGTGTTGAAGGTCTCCTGGTTCTGACTGCTGGTTGCTAGCTAGGCCGCGCGGACATCGACGGCGCGGAGGCGGGTCCAGGACATTGAGGAGTGCGCTTCGCGAGGGGAACCATTTTGCTTACGCTTCTGGGCGATCGCGCAGCATTGGTTGCGCGGTTGCACAGAATTCGTGACGCGCTCCTATGTAACATTAGAGTATCTTTAGCAGGGGTCTTAGCTGAGGATAGCTGGAGCAGATTGGAAGAGTCAGAAGGTCTACGCCCGACTGCGCTGCCGAGGGAAAACTGTTTGAGTTTACAGGCAGACGAAGCCGACGCTCGTCCTATTGCCTGATGGGATTCAGCGGCGACCCAGATGAAGGCGCTCAGCCTGATGTCACGACAGCTCGCGCTCCGCAACGGAGGTGCGCGGGACAATTCTTCCAGACTCTGCCCAAGATCTCGCTCAGGCCTGTTTGCACAGGAGTTTGCCCAAAGCCAGGCTCTTCAAGAGCTTGCGCGCGTTTGAGAAAAAAGACCGGCGGGCTGGTGGGTGGGCGTGCGCGCGTGCACAGGCGGAGCGTCGTCTCACAGGTTTTGACGTCATGATGTTGATCGGAACGTTAAATGAGACTAAATAACCACGGCGCGGTCCGCACGCCCCCACAGGCGGCAACATGCGGCAACGAATCCTCGGCAAACCCACACAGGCGGCAACGGGCGGCAACGGGCGGCAGCGCGGCAGATCCTCGGCACGCACAATGGCGAGCGGCAGCGGGCGGCGACGTGGCGACTCTTCGGCGCACCCCCACGGGCTGCAACGGGCGGCAACGTGGCGAATCCTCGGCATTCGGACGCAGCGCGCGACGCGGCAACGACGCGGCAGCGGGCGGCGACGTGCAGGCCCACACAGGGCGGCAATGGGCGGCGGCGTGGGGATTTCTCTGCATCGGCAGCGTGGCGAATCTTCGGCACACCCCCACGGGCGGCAACGGGTGGAAGCAGCAGGCACCGTGGCGAACGTTCGACATACACATCCACGGTCGGCAGCGGGTGGCTCCTGCGGGCGGCAACGCGGCGAGTCCTCGGCATACCTCCACGAGGCGGCCACGGGCGGCAACGTGGCGAATATCCTCGGCATACCCACCCAACAGTGCCTTAGAAGAACAGGTGAGAACCCCTGATTCAGTGGAAGTGCTGCTTTGGAGACATAGCTTCATCTCCCTTCTCTTCTCTGCCCCCTCCCCCATCCCTCTCCTTGACTCCCCCTCTCCTCGTCTGCCCTCCCCCTGCCGGGGTCCAGTTCGATTCCTAACATCGACTTCGGCTGGCCCAACCCGAGCCGATCCTGATGTTCCGACGATCCGACGCGTCCCGATGATTGCACGGCGGTGCATCTTGGCGCGGCCGATCCGATTCGATTTCGACTTCGTGCTGATGCAGCCCGCTCCGACGCACCCTCTCCTCCGACGGCCGCAGCTTCTGCTCGGGACGCCACCCCCCCGGGAATGTCCCGCCCCTTTTTCCCGATAACGGCGTCCTTCTTCGGGCCGTGGTTGTGACGGCCTCGGGGCCGAGAGACCGCCTCCGGACGTAAAGGATGTCCAGAACCCCGCCGTCATGATTCTCTTGCCTCGCCCGGAGGAAGAGGAGGAGGAGGAGGAGGAGGAGGGCGAGGGTGAGGGCAAGGGCAAGGGCGAGAGGAGGAGAAGGATGGGAAAGGAGAGGAGAGGAGAGGAGAGGAGAGGAGAGGAGAGGAGAGGAGAGGAGAGGAGAAGAAAGGAATGGAAAGGGCAGGTAGACGGAGGAGGCGTGGGCGAGGGCGAGGGCGAGGGGAGGAGGAGGGTACGCTCCCCCGCCCACCGAGCCACACCTGGGAGCCCGAGGCGGCCCCAAGGGGGGGGGGGGGGGAGGGCGAGATGAGGCGGAGAAGGAGGAGGAGGAAGGCGATGGCGAAGGCGAAAGGGAGGAGGAGGAGGAGGAAGAGGAGGAGGAGGAGGAGAGGGAGGAGGAGGAGGAGGGGGAGGAGGAGGAGGAGGAGGAGGAGGAGGAAGAGTTGAGGAGGGGGAGGAGGAGGAGAAGGAGGAGGTGACGCAGACATCCGACACGTATCGAGGATGCCTACGGCGAATCACCGCCGGCCCCTGCTTTTTGGAATCGCCCATGTGGCCGAGCGTTGTGGCAAGAGCTCTGCCGAGCTATCGGACCTTCCCCCATGCGTTGTGGAAACCCTTCGGGGAACGCTTTGAGGGAGGATGGGGGAGAAGATCAGGAGGAGGAGGAGGAGGAGGAGGAGGCGGAGGAGGAGGAGGAAGGCATCTTGGGAGCCTTTGGGGGCACTCTTGGCCTGCCGGGAGCTTCCTGGGAGTCTCGTGGATGCATATTGGGGGCCTCCTTGGGCTTGTTTGGGGCCTTTGGGGGCGTCTCGGGGGGCTCTTTGCCCGTCTTAGTATATGCATGTATACATACATGTATGCGTACATGCGTACGGACGTACGTACACACATACAAACAAGCAACCAAACAAACAAACATCCATACACAAATACATATATATGTATATATATATATATACATGCACGGATACGTACGTACGTACGTACGTACGTACGTGCATACGTGCACGCATACATACATACACACATACATACATACATACATATATACATACATACATACATACATACATACATACAGACAGACAGACAGACAGACAGACAGACAGACAGACACACACACATACGTACATACATACATACATACATGCATGCCTACATACAGACAGACAGACAGACAGACAGACAGACAGACAGACAGACAGACAGACAGACGCATGTACGTACGTACATACATACAAACAAACATACATACATGCATGCATACATACATACATACATAGCTACACATCCACATCGCTACACCTATAAAACCATACACGATGCATCCATACAAGCACACACAAATGCGTTGAGATTGGCGTGTGCGCGCGCGTAGGAGCATTTGGCAGGGATAAAGGAGAGGAGCGATAGTGCGTTGGCTGGGATGGTATGAACGCATATGGAAAGGGAACTAGTATGCATAATCATGTGTAAGTTGCAGCGTCCCACGGTATACCATTAACCCCAGGGGGGAGGGGGGAGTCGATCGAAGACGCCTACGGCGAATCGCCGCCGCCCCCTGCCTTTTGGAATCGCCCGTGTGGCCGAGCGTTGTGGCAAGAGCTCTGCCAAGTTATCGGACCATGTGTTCCCCCTGCCGGTGTACAAGCCGTTCGGGGAACACTTGAGGGGGGATGGTGGGAAAGATCAGGAGGAGGAGCGACGTGCTTCGCGCGCCACGTTAGATCAACGGAAAAAGAGGAGGAGGAGGAGGACGAGGAGGAGGCGGAAGCATCTTGGGAGCCTCATAGGGGGGCACTCTTGGGCCTCCTGGGAGCTTCCTGTGTGCCTGTTGGATGCATCGTGGGGCCTCCTTGGGCCTCTTGGGGGCCTTTGTGGCATTCTCGGGGGCCTTGGCCCGTGTAACGACATTCCTGGCCCGTCTGACGCCGTCGGAAGACGTCTTTGGGGCCTCTCTGAGCCGACGTGGGCCCTCTTGGGCCCTCTTGGGGTGTTCCAGGGCCGTCTTGGAGACCATCCTGAGCGTCTCGGAGGCCTCTTGGGCCGTCTTGGGGGCCTCTTGGGCCGCCCTGGGGCCATCTTGGAGACTTGTTGGGCGATCTTGGGGCGATCGTCTCGGGTCGTCGGAAGGTCGAAAAGACATATGGTTAAACATGTATGTTGAAATGTTCCAAATCTACTATAAAAAAAGAATGTTTGTTCACGTGTCGCGTATCCCCACCAGTCCGTCTGAGCGGCAGCGAGGCTCACCTCCTGTTAGCCTCTTCCCTTGCTTGGTCTCGTCTCTGTTCGCCTTCCTCTTCCCGTGCGCTAATTTCGGCCGTCGCCTTGCGCTTCGCCCCTTGACGCCGCCCGATTGCCTCGCCGCGGTCGCGATCAAAAAGCGTCCCCACCAGCCCATTCAGAAGCCTTGCCCATGAAAGCTAACGGGAAAAGGGACGAAGAGGCACATCTAGGGAATGGGAGCAAGGGGGTGGCCTTGGAAGGCCTCTTCGGGCCATCCGTGGGGGCCGCGTGGGGGCGAGGGGAAGAGGAGGAGGAGGAGGAGCAGGAGGAGCAGGAGGAGGAGGAGGACGAGGAGGAATAGGTGGACGAGGACGCGGATGGGGACGAGGACGAGGATGACGAGGACTAAGATGAGGACGACGCGGACGAGGCCTCATGGAACCATCTAGAGGTATTCTTGCGGCTGCTGCTGCTGCTGGCGCTCTCCAGGAGTTTGGGGGGCCCTCTTGGAACCTTCTTGGTAACCCTGGAAGGCTTCTTGGGATCATCTTGGAGGCCATCGATTACAGGATGGGGGGTCCCCAACTCAGCTCCCCCCTCAGGAGCCCGCAAACCGCTTCTTGGGGCTCTCTTGGAGCGCGCTTGGGCGTTCTTGGAGCGGCCTTGGGGCCGTTTGGAGCATTTGGGGAGCCATCTTGAGCCAGCTTGGGCTATCTGAGCCATCTTGGAGGTCATCTTGGCCTCGCTGAGGCCGCTCGGGGGCTTCTTAGGGGCCGTCTTGGGGCTCTGTTGGGACCCTCTTGGGACCCTCTTGGAGCTCTCTTGGGGCTCTCTTGGGAGCCCTGGAGCGCCTCTTGGGGCCATCTTCGAGGCTATCGATTAGAGGAGGCTTTCTCCCGATCGAGGTCCCCCCCTCGGGGGCCACGATCCTCGTGAGGGGTGTCAAAAATTGGCCCTCCCAGGGGCCGACAAAGGGCCCCCCGACCACCCGCGACACCCCCAACAAAAATTTAGGGAAGGGGGTGGGGGGAGGGGTGAACCCATCCCCGAAGGGGAAGAGGGGTCTTTGGAAGAGGAAAGAAAGACATCGTTAGACCACCTGCACCCAGAGGGCTGGTGGGAATTATGTTGCCCTTTTTCGGGCCTTCCTGGAGGCCCTCTTTGACGCCTTCTGGGCCGTCTTGGAGACCTCTTGGGGGCCTCTTGGACCCTCTTGGGCCATCTTGGAGCCATCGTGGAGCCATCTCGGGCCGTCTTGGTGGCCTCTTGGGCGGACTTGGAGGCATCTCGGACCCTCTTGGGCCATCGTGGAGGCCATGTTGGACCATCTTGGGCGAACTTGGAGGCCATCTTGACCGTCTTGGAGGCCATCTTGGCCGTCTTAGAGGCGATCAGGACAACGGGAGACAAACTTTAGGAACTTCTCCAGGTGGCCAGCGCAGTGCGCCGAAGCCCCAGGGGAGCTCTTGTGGAAAAGATCCAAGACCAAAAACCGTACAGGGTTCAGCACGCCAGGCATCCGTGTGGCAAGCCAACAGGGGGCAGCGGATCTACGTAATGGCCTTCGACCCATCCCGCCACCGTGCCTGGGCTGTGGTTCAGAGCCCTCCCGGATGCACCTGAAGTTCTCTTGGGATGCCTCTCGGGGCTCTTGGAGGCGTCTTGGGGGCTTCTGGAGGACCTCTTGGGTGCCTCTTCGGGCATCTTGGGGGCCTCTTGGGGTCGTCTCAGGACTTCTTGGGAGGGCCTCGGTCTCTTGGGGAGTCTTGGGGCCCCCCTCCTGGGGGCCTCCTGGGCAGTCCTCAGGCGCTGTTGTGGGCTTCTTGGGCCGTCTTCGAGCGGTGGAAACTGAAAAAGGCGAGAAGGCTAAAATCACGCAAATTCCAAAGGTAATAATAATGTGGGGTTCTTGGAGCCCTCTTGGGAGTGCTCTCTGGGTCCCCTTGGAGCGTATTGGGGATTTCCTTCGCTTTCTTGGGGCGATCTTGAGACGACTGGAGACTCTCTTGGGCCGTATTCGCGGCCTCCTCGGTCCCGCTGGCCCGTCTTGGAATCCTCCTGGCTTACAGAAAACGCACGCGACACATTGCAAGAGCTCCCACTGGGAAACAGGGTGTGCGGGCTTGTAAGAATATCGAATTTTGGCAGCAGCAGCAGCAGCACAGCTGTGATCCTTGTGAACCTCGCTGGACCCACCCAGCGCACGAGGCGGCAACGGGCGGCAACGTGGCGAAACCTCAACGGACCAGGCGGCAACGAGGCGGCAACAAGGCGTGGTGAAACCTCGCCAGACAGCGCACGAGGTGGCAACAAGGCGGCAGCGTGCGGCAACATGGTGAAATTTCGCCAGATCCCCCCAGTGCACGAGGTGGCAACGAGGTGGCAACGTCCGGCAACGTGGCGAACCTCGACGGACAGAACCCAGCGCACGAGGCGGCAAGGAGGTCGCAACGGGTGGCAATGTGGCGACCACTCGCTGGACCCACCCAGCGCAAGAGCGAAACCTCGACGAACCCACCCAGCGCACGAGGCGGCAACGAGTCGGCAACGGGCGGCCATGCGGCAAAACCTCGCCGGACCCACCCAGCGCACGAGGCGGCAACGGGCGGCAACGTCCGGCAACGTGGCGAACCTCGACGGACAGAACCCAGCGCACGGGGCGGCGAGAAGGTGGCAACAGGCGGCAACGTGGCGACCACTCGCTGGACCCACCCAGCGCACGAGGCGGCAACGAGGCTGCAACGGGGCCGTCCACGAGGAAAACCCTGGCCGGGCCCAACCGATTCCTCAGGGAGAGAAACAAAAGCCCTTACATGCAAGCACTGATTGGGAAAGATCGCTGGAAAGGAGGAGAAGGAGGAGGAGGAGGAGGAGGAGGGCGAGGGCGAGGGCGAGGGCGAAGAGGAGAAGGAGGAGGGGATGAGGAGGAGCGGATGCGTCTGCCTCAGACAGGTGGGGCGGACCTCTGCGCAGAAGCATGGCCGAAACGGCGACGGCACGGTGGGGCGGAAGCCTATATCGAAGGAGCTTGAAAAGTAGAGCGGGAACTCCCGCCCTACGTTCGAAATCGCCCACAGCGCGTCGGATCCGAAGTCAGGAGAGGGCACGTTCCCCCGCGCCCACGGAGCCACCCCCGAGGAGGCCGAGACCCCCCGCGAGGGGGGGAGAGCGCGCGGCGGGGGCCAGGGGTTCGTGCTCCGGGCGGCGGGCCACACGACGGTGTCCGCCCCCAGCCGCCTCTCTCGCTCTCTCTGTGGCTCGGGGGGGGGGGGGGGGGGAAAGAGGACGAGGAGGAGGAGGAGGAGGAGGAGGAGAAAAAAGGAGTCGTCGCACGCACGCACGCACAACACGAGGTGAAAAGAAGGAGGGAGGAGGAGCAGGAGGAGGGGGCGGGGGAGAAGAGAGGCGGCGGGCTACCCTCCTCCTCCTCCTCCTCTCCTCCTCCTCCTCCTCCTCCTCCTCCTCCTCCTCCTCTTCCTCCTGCTCTTCGTTCTGTCCCCATCTCCTTGGGCTCGTCGGCATACTCCACAGCAGCTGGGAGGGCACCCAGCACACGGAGATGGCAACCCTGACGGGGCTCGGGAGCGAGAGACGGCGTCTTTCTGTTTAGCGAGCGCGAGCTGGTCCAGAAGGATACCATCGTGGCGTTGCGTACACTGCGCCTTGCGGTGGACGTGCGCGCGCACACCCATCGGGAAGCCAAGTGCGAAAAGGCACGCGGTCTTCTGGTGGAGAGTATATGGGGCGTGCCACGGAGGGCCTCGCCTTCGAGCACCAAAGGAATTCGAATCCCTTCCCGGTGGAAGGTCGGCGAAAGATGGCGGAAGTATAATTGGGTTGCGTCCGTCGGCGGATGGCGGCGGAAATAAACATCTGCCCCCCGAAGGGATGGCAGCATTTGTGGGTTCAGGGTTTCCGGAGCCTGGTATGTGTCCAGACAGAGTGTTGAATGATGTTCCGAATCTGGAACTTCCCCATGTTGCCGAAACAGCCGGGGATGGTTTGCCGATACTCGCCGCCACACGCAAGAGGAGTAGGATCGAGTTCGGGATCGTTGTTGCTAAAATTCGTGAATTGGCTTCAGAGGATGATGATATCACGCATGCGGCCATGAGTACCATCTTCACGATGCCATCCACAAGTAGTCCCGAGCCAACCAGCGCCATAACAAACGAGAAGGCGCGCTATTCGAAGTTGGGTCATTGGACACCCTTTGCCCGGCAATTCGCCAGAAGTGATGTCATATAACATATTGACGCCAAGGATGCCCTCAAGGATTGGTTACTTGAGTTATTTGGCCCGCCGATTGAAGGGGACCACACGAGCCGAGACATCCCCTCTCGACGGGGTGAAACGGTGCCTAATCACACTGATGGTGGATCGATTTGCGTCGCGGCGTGCGTGAGGTGAGGCACGTTGTTTTCTGCAGCCACTTCGGTCCGACTGTGTCTACCATGCTTGCTATTGGAACCTGCGTGTGGAGCCGCACTGTCAGTGGGGGTCATTGTGAACACATGAGTTGTGCTGCCACCCCCCGCACCAAGAGCCTCCGCTGCCCCTCCCCAGTGGCCAGTGCTCCTCCTCCTCCTCCTCCTCCTCCTCCTCCTCCCCCTTCTCCTCATCATCATCACCACCATCGATGATGCACAGCCCTATCGATGGTGAGATCGATCGATGGCTTAATCGAGAGGGCAATCGATTGATCGATCGATCGACCGATTGATCAATCGATCAATCGAGTCGCCGCCATCATCATCAGAGTTCCCCTCGCACTCCCGACATCGTACTCACCTGGGGAAGGCGGTCCATTGAGGCCCATTTTGGAACAGAAAGAAAATGAGTCTCAGCCGCCACCATCGACGGTGATGTGTTGCACCTTGGTGGGGCATCGCAGACTCTATGCTGGGCCAGCGACCGGGGAGCCCAACCCACCTCACTTAGGCCAAGCATTGAGGCCTGGTGGGGGGCATTCACTTTTCAGTGTGAGAGCGCCCGCTTTCCGCATTCCGTGAGCCTGCAGCTTCGTTGCCTCCAAAATTGTTCTGAAGTTTTTGTTAGGCGATGCGAGGGCATTTTCCGCGTTCTCCGCAAAGTTTGCGCAAGACCACATTGAAGAATCATTCGAGATGGCGCGAACACATGTCGCAGGCCTAGAGGTTGACACCAACACCAGTATCGGCGGTGTGCCTCCACCGAGGGAAGAGAATCCCGATCTCGGTGATGGCGGTAATGTTCTGACTTCCAAGGTGACCGAAATAGCACCACCAACACCGAAATCTGGGATCATCTTACCCCTGTGGAGGCAAGGCAGCCCCTTCATGTCGATGTTGGTGCCCATTTCCAGGCCTCCAGAACATCGGAGGGAGGGGGAGACGACTGGCGCTGGAAATCCGAAGAACACGAACTCCCAGCCTCCTCCGGCCCGCGCGCCTTCAGGGCCTCTTCATCGGCCTCGCGACGGCGCTCGGCGCCGCACTCGCGGACCACAGGCGGGGGGAGGGGAACGTCAGGCCTTGAGTTAAGTCGGGCATGTCCCTCTACAGGAGGAATATTCCAGAATAGTTTTAAAAATAGTCTGGAGACGATTGTTCGACCATTGTTAGTATTCTTCGAACATTGTTTTAGTATTTCGGTTTTTTTCGTTCAGAGTCCGCCTGTAGGGGGACACGCCCGACCTAAGCCTTGAGCCCGAGGGACGGAGCTGAGCTCGTGGCTTGCATGGGTTTCAGCGCGAGCTCTTGAGCCGTGAGGAGGTTCAGAGGGGGAAAGGGCACCCATACCGCTGCCCCTCGCCCCGGTTTCCCCTTTTTGGGGGGTCTCCTGGGAGGCGCTCGTCACCACCGCTGGATTCGCCTCGAAGCCCTGGTCAGAACGCACCCCAGGAGGAGGTCCGGGGAGTAGCGGCATCGGTACCTCTGGGTTTCCCCAGAGGCAGCAGCTCTGGACAGCACGGGGGACGAGGGAGGAGGACCTCGCCGTGAAGGAGGCAGGTCCTGGAGGGAAGCGGGCCCTCCAGGCTTTTGGCCGCCTTCTGGTTCCTCGACGGCCCTCGACGGGAACGGAGACTGTCGAGATCGGGATTAGAAGCCAGTCCCAGGGGAAGGCCCCAGTGTTCAGAGCCCGTTCTCGTCATAGTGGAGGATCATAGCGCCGACAGCCCAGGACAAGTTCAGGCCCTCACGACGATCGTTTCGTTCGGTCTCAGCGCGCCCTGGCACCATCAATCGAGCGGGGTCCTTCCTGGCAGCACCTCGTGCGAGGCACCGCTCAACCTTCGATCGGGTCCCAAGGTCTACCTGCAGACCTGCGGCGTCGCAGCCGCAGGATGGGCCCGAGTCGTGGTTGTTGATTGTGCGATCGTCGACCGGTCGATTATGTAAGTTGCGCGTGATTGTCGTATCCGCAATCAGGGGCATGACTAACACTACGAGTAGTCAGCGCGGTATGATAGAGTGACCCGGGACTGTGATCAGCAACTTGATTGGCCAGGCCACGGATGGCAGGATTACCGTCATAAGCAGTTCGTCGTGTCGATTCGTTTCATGTTATACACTAGCACTGTAACGTTAGAGTTGCGCGTGTTGATGCGAGGCGAGAGGTGAAGAGGGTGTTGTTGTTGACATGCCTCGCTCCCTGAACGTCGCGTGGCATCGAGCTAGCGCAAAAGAGGCGAATGAGCGGCAGTAAAGGTGGAAGGAGTGGAATAGGGCGGGGATGAGGAAGAGCAACAGCAGGACACATCAAAAAAAAGAGGAAGGAGGAAGATCGAGGATGAGGAGTGCGGAGGAGGAGGTGGAGGACAAGGAAGTTGAGGTGAAGGGGGAGGCCGAGGACGAAGAGGAGGAAGAGGCCAGAAATGCAGTGCTCGAGGGAGTAATGATTGGAGGAGGAGAAAGAGGGCGAGCATGAGGACGAGGCAGGCCAAGAAGCCAGAAAGGAGGAGCAGGAGGAGAACGAGGAGGAGGATGAGCAGGAGAAGGAGGAGGGGACGAAGGGGGTGGAGAGGGAGGAGGAGGGAGGAGGAGAGGAATGAGAGGGGAGGGGGAGAGGAGGAGCAGGAGGAGCAGGAGGAGGAGGAGGTGGACGAGGAGGACGAGGAGGAGAAGGAGGAGGAGGAGGAGGAGGAGGAGGAGGGAGAGGAGGAGAGGAGGAGGGGGCGGAGAGGGAGGAGGGGAGGGATGACAGGGGAGGGCGGACGAGGAGGAAGAGAACGAGGAAGAAGCGCAGGAGGAGGAGGAAGAGGAGGGAGTGAGAGGAGAAGAATGCACGTGGAGCAGGAGTTTGGGAGAGCAGGAGGAGGAGGAGGAGGAGGACGACGAGGAGAAGGAGCACGAGGAGGACGGGGAGGAGGAGGAGGAGGAGGAGAAGAACCAGCCGGAGGAGCAGGAGGAGGAACAGGAGCAGGAGCATAAGCAGGCGGTGGGAGCAGGATAAGGAGAATACGTAGCCCCCCACACTTGCGAAGAAGAGTAAAGGACGGCGGGGTCGTCGGCAGTTTGCGAGGCTCTGGAGAAGCCCTCCGCAGGCGCCGAAAATTTGCAATGTGTACAACGAGCGCGCCACAGGCGCCGATTTTTTTGTCAAAATAATGTGGATTGGTCGCGGGTGGGTCGCCGGGTGGGTCGCGGGGTGGGTCTTTGGGTGGGCCGCGAGCGGGTCGCGGGCGAGGACGACGACAACAACAACAACAAACAATGTCTAGATTGTTCGTTATTATTGATCTGCTCCGTGTCACTCAACATGTATATTACACACCCTCGCTACCCGCCCTCTTCGCCTTCGATCGCAACCCTCTTTGGGGGTATACCTCCATTACCTGCCACATCTAGTTGGCGCAGCCCAGCAACAAAAAGGAGGGGAGGGACAGGAGGGAGAGAAGGATGGAGCACGACAGATCTTAGCAGGAGGGGGGGTTGAAGCAAAAAACAAGCAGTACAACCAGACGGGCGGGTCGGGCTGGCAGACCCGAACAGGCGGGTCGGGCGGGCGGGCCCAGACGGCGGGGTCGATCGGGCGGCTTGCTGAAGCGTCAGTCCTGCATGAGTCGCGAGGGAGTCTCGAGCGATAGCGCGATTCCTTAGTAAATCGTGAGGAAGTCCACATCGAGAGCGTGTTTCCTGAGTGTTGGGGGCAAGGAGATTTAATCGATTGCGAGAAAAAGCCACGCGAGATCGCGATTCTTGATAAATTGTAAGGATGTCCAGCGCGAGACCGCGATAATCAATAATTATGCGGAAGTATCAGGCGAGAGCCGTGGGTGTTGCAAACCGGGGGCCAACAGCACAGTCTGAGCCCAAATAATTTCCTGGTAAAAACCAGATGCGAGCTCCAGGAGAAGCGCTTTCATTGGAAAGCACCATGGGCGCCAGAGGGGATCAACAGCAGTTGTTCTTTAGATACGAGAGTTCAACAATACGTTTACAAACATGCGCCATGATCTTACGTGCCACATGCACCCATCATGATGCCAACCCTTCTTGGGGGAACTAGATCGCAAGGAGGGCCGAGATTCCCACACCCAGATCTCCCGCCCAAGTAGGTCGAGCCACCACCTCTCCCGAGGCACTTCCCCACTTTCAGCTTGCACGACGCATAAAAGATCAGAGCGATTGTGGGGAGCGGTAAGGGTTCCAAACACGAAAGGGTCGAGCCCCAGGAGAGGCGCAATCTGTAGAAACATGCGTAAGAGCACGACTGCTCTGACGGATTCCCTTGTCCTGCTAACTTGCGAGGAAGTCTCAAGCGGAACAGCCATTCCGGCATCCGCGAGTAGCACCAAAAAAGCGTTGAAGGACCCCTTTTGTGGTGCTGAAGTGCTAGGTAGTCTCAGGCGAAAAGGCCCTTCCGGCATCCGCGAGTAGCAGCAATTTGGTTCTGAAGGGCGTTCTTGTAGTGTTGTTATGTGAGGAAGTCTGAAGCGAAATGGCCGCTTCGGCATCTGCAACAAGTAGCGGCAAGATTGCTCTGAAGGACCCTTTGTGGTCCTAAATTGCGAGGAAGTCTCTGGCGAGAACGCCCTTCCTGAGGTTCGGGCCTTCTCTGGCCAGGGCCTCTCGGAGTAACTTGTGAGGAAGTATCGCACGGTGGGGTCGCTGTTGTTGGGGGGCCGGTTTCGGCGGAACCCCGAAAAGTTTGAGCGTGAGTTTCAAGTTCAAAGGAAATGCAGCTTGCGCCGAGGCGAGACCGCCAGGGCGCCGTTAAGGTGTCCAGCATAATAATTGTTCAACAACAGTAGCAATCATTATGGCATTGTTCGTTTTGTTCTGCTCGCGTGCCATTCAACACCTACATCCCAGCCCTCGATACCCGCCTGCTTCGTCTTCGATCGTACCCCTTGGGGATATACCCTCCTTACCTGCCACGCGTAGTTGGCGCAGCCCCTGAACAGGGGAAGGGGGGGAGGGAAGGAACAAGGGGGAGAGAGAAGGATGGAGCACGAGAGAGATTTGCAGGAGGGGGGTCAGGAGCAGAAGCACAAGCGGCAAAACCTGACGGGCGGGCCCAGGCGGGCGGAATTTAACGGGCAGCCTGGGCCCAGACGGCTGGGTCGAGCGGGCGGACCGCTCAAGCGTCAATCCAACATGAAGCGCAGGGAAGTTTCAAGCGATAGCGCGATTCCAAAGTAAATTGTGCGGAAACCCAGGGCGAGATTGCGAGGATGTACCACGAGAGCGCGATTCGTGAATAGATCACGAGCGTGTCCCGCGCGAGAGCGCGATTCAGAAATCCATTGTGAGCAAACATCAGGCGGGAGCCGTTTTTGTTGTAAACCGGATACCAGGGGGATACTCTGAGGCCCAAGATTTATTTTTGTTGCAAAAATGTGCGAGCCCAAGGAGGAGCACTTCAATCTAAGAAACAGAATGGGCACCGAAGGGGGGATCGAAAATACTTAGTCCTGCGAAGTGTGAATTCCACAACAGCAGCAACAACAGCAACAACAATAACAACAAGGACGACGACAACTACAAAAACAATAAGTTTAAGAGTGCTCGCTCTTTTTTTTTGCTCGACTGCGACTCAACACGTATATCCCTAACCCTCGATACCCGCCCTCTTTTTCTTCGATCGTACCCCCTTGGGGGTATACTTCTCTTGCCTGCAACGTGTATTTTGCAAGGGAAGACGGATGGAAGGAATGGACACGGGAAATGGAGGAGGATGGAGCACGATATCAAGTAGCAGGAGGGAGGCTAGGAGCAGAAAACACGTGGCAGAACCAGACGGGCAAACCGGGCGGGTAGACACTAACAGGCAGGTCAGGAAGGCGGGCCCAGGCGGCCAGGTCGATCAGGCGGGTTGTTGAAGCGTGCGTCCCACATGAATCGCAAGGAAGTTTCGAACGACAGCGCGATTTCCAAATAAATCGCCAGGAAATCCACAGCGAGGGCGTGATTCCTGAGTGTCGAGGGCGCGGCGTCTGAATACATCGCGAGGAAGTCCCACGCGAAAGCGCGATTCCTGTGCAATTTCTGCGGAAGTCCCGCGC